CGGGGGGGGGGGGGGGGGGGGGGGGTGGGCGGCAGGCGCAGCCCAGGACCCGGGGGCGGGGTGCGGGCGGCTAGGGGCCGGCCCGAAGACCGTTAGAGGCTCCCTCTGCCCCCGGGCCCCCCTGGCTCGCCTCCCTGCTGCGCGGCTGCCCACCTGGCGACGTGACGCTCCACCAATCCCCTTCGAGCTCCTCCGGGCCCCTTGGCCTTGCACCGCCCCCCTCCTCACCCTGAAAGGCGCACCCAGCCCGGACCGCCCTGCGCTCTCGCCGCGGAGCACCCTTCTGGCTTCTTCGTCTCTCGGACGGACGGACGCCGGAGCTCTTCTCTTGCCCTTAGCCCAACTTTCTTTCCCGCCTCTCGAAAACTCGAGCTTCCCTCTTCCTCCTCCTTTAGGCTTGTTCTTTGCCCCTCCATTTTTCCCCCTCCTCTCCCACGCCACGAACCCATCTCCCCTCTCCTTTCTCCCATCCCCTCCTCCCTCCCCGGGACCCCCTTAAACTCTTCTTCCTCCTTCAACTCAGAGACTCGGTCCCAGCGCTCCTGCTTGGACTCCGTCTCGGTCTCCTGCTCCGGTTCTTCTCGAAGTCATGGCAGGACCAGGGGGTTGGAGGGACAAGGAGGTGACAGATCTGGGCCACTTACCGGTAAGTAAAGGACACCAGGCCATCGCCCTTCTTGTGCGCTTCTTTCCCAGGCTTGGAAAGCCTGGGGAAGAAAGCCCACACCCTCCAGTGCCTAGGCCAGGACTTCGACGGGGCCGTGCCTCAGGATGGGCCAGAGAAGCTCCTGTGCGGAATCAGCGCCCCTGGGCTCCTGGCTGAGGTGAAGGCCACAAAAAGCAAAGGGACAGGGTGAGGTTGGGGGAGAAAGAAGTGGGTGCTAAAGGGTGGGACCTTTCTTAAATAGAGCCAGCATTGTCTAGCAGCGCCTGGGTACCTGTAATAGGAGCGTTCCTAGAGGGGAAAAGGGGCTGACCCCCGCCTTTGCCCCCCCCCCCCCCCCCCGAGACCTCTCTACCTATGGGTGACTCCCTTTAAAAAAAGCAATGAACACTAGAAAAATGAAGCATTGTAGTCACACTATAGTAGCAGTTTCTAAAACTTTACTCTTACCAGGAGAATGTTCTCGACTTAGTGTTGCTGGAGCGAAAAGAACTCGACGCCCTCTGGATAAGAACTGAATTCTGAACATGGCCTTTTAAGTTTTAAAACAATGTATTATGTCCGCTAGATAATGAAATATAATTCTTTGTTAGTGATTATCATGCACAGGGTCTCCTTTTGCTCCATGTCCCGTTGAAACTGATTGGTGAGCCATTAAAGCCATCGCAAACAACAGGCTTACTACTGTAACAACACCGTTTATTTCATTGGCATCTGGTTTCTGGCTGACACTGGATCCCACCCAAATCCATTTTTCAAGTTCCCTTTTTAGATTGGCATTTCACTTGCACCCAATCTTGAATGCAAACGTCTGCTAGACTCTCCAAAGGGGAACTAACCAGGCACTGTGTTGGAATGATCGCCAAGCATGTGGAGTTCGGGGCATTGGCCTCCTTGCCTTGAGAAAAGCTAAATATTAACCGTGAGGTTATAGGACTATTCAAAGTCGTCGTGACTTAATTAATTTTGTGAATGTTTGGCATTTAAGGGTACGTGTTGGTAATGATGGCAGATACCTGACTCCCTAAAAATGGGCCACACCCAAGGCCTCCTTTAGTAATTTCACAGTATGTGGTGTGGTCTGTTGTGAGGGGAGGGGATCTACATGGCTAATATTTTAGCAAACTTTTATCAGTCAGTAGAAGAACATGCTTCACTACTAAATGGTCACGTGTCAATTGTGAGAATTGCTGTTATTGTTGCAGCTTCATAATATAAGATCAAAGAATTTAAAAATACTTAAACCATTTTTTCATCCCACCTACACCTGAAATCACTTCTTTTCCAGGATGGACACATGAGATGTCTGGATTATGGAGGCTTCAGTTGGTGAATTGCCTTCTGAGCAGAATTTTTCAATGCAGTCTAAGGTTGACTTGATTCTAAATAAGACTAAAGCCCGTGAGTGACCTCCTTGCCTCCTGAGCATTCTCCACGTGTGCGCTTGTACGTGAGTGCCTGCCTGTCTGCGTGTGTGCTTGCGTGTGTGTGTGTGTGTGTGTGTGTGTGTGTGTGTGCGCGCGCGCGTGCGTGCGTGCGTGTGTGTGTGTGCGCTTGCTTGTGCCTGTACGCATGTGCACGTGGTGTGAAAGCACACATGGACAAGATGAAATAAACTGATTTCTAAAGAGGATCAAATTGAGGATAGAAATGATAGCACAGGGAATTCCAAAAACAAAGAACAACAATGGCAAAAATGTAAAGGTGCTGTTCCCACGACAATGGGGATAAATTCCCTGGATTAACTCACCTGGTAATGGCTTTGGAACATAAAGATCTGACGAGAGTCCATGAGATAAGCAAAAAGGCTGAAGTCTTGATTTTTATAGTTCACTAGAACATTAGCATTCTCAAGATTGGGTGAGGGTGGTAATGGGTACAGGAGAAAAAAAGTTGATTTGTAATGTTGGGGAATCTGAAAAAGACACAAAAATAGGGTAAAAATGATATTTTTTCCTCATTTTAAATCATCATGGACGGTTCAATTTAGGAAAATTCTTATATTTCAGGATTTTATATTAGAGCAATTTTCTGTACTATCGGAGCAAATCATGGGTAATTCTCCCCTCTCCCTAGATCTAAATTCCAAGAAGAGAAATCTAGCTGAGAAGTGGCATGCTCTTCAGTATTTTCTTTATATCAGATGTTTAGAGACGTAAAGTCGCAGTTTCTCTAGTCACCGAGGTGTAGGGTTTTTTTTTTTACATTTAATGTTTATTTTACATTTAACTTATATCGTGAAGACTTTGGAAGTAAATGAATAGATGAATTGATAGTTAAGTTAGATAGACATTTGCATTTTTGATGCGGAGCGACCTGACCAAGCAAAGAGAAGGGCATAGGGCAGTGAGTGTCCCTTTCAATAGTTATCTTCAATAGGGCACATGTGAAGGACAGAAGAATATTGACATATGTTCCTGCTAAGTGAAACAGTTCGGAAACAGCCAGATAATGATGAGAGATTCGAACCTTGACTGGCCAAATTGATCACAAAGAATCTTGGAGGCCTGAGTGTGGACTGGCTGAGCTGTAGAGCGGATGCCTGACTCACACAGGTCCTGGGTCCGATTCCCATATCACACAGGCACACATACACATATATGCAAATCTTTAAGAGTGTAGAAGTACAAGTAAATATAGGTTTGGAATTTATACATTACATACTCTTTGTGATTGTTCAAGTGCATGAACATAAACCAGAACTCCTAGAGAGTACAAGCTTGTACAGGAGTGCAGTTCAGAATTTAAAGAAACGGATGGAAATTTGAGCCATAGAAGTAGAAGGACCATGACTTTGGGGCTCGTGTGGGCTACAGAGTATTCTAGAATAGCCTGAGCTTCCATAAAGACTCTCTTAGTGACACAAAACAACAAAAAGTGATAGAAATTTATGCGATATTTTTAATTAGATAATGTTTTATACCTAAACATTAAGCAGTAGTGAAAGTAGAGGAGAAAAATTATATAAATTTCACAATCATAAATGGTGTTTTGATGTAATTATCAAACCTTTTGCATAGGACCTCAGAGACATAAAGTACGAAAGCCATTGCAATTATCAATTCAATCATATTTGCTCTTGGTTTTTAAGACAGGGTTTCGTGTAGCCCTGGCCGTTTTCCAACTATTTCTATAGCTGACCCTGCTCTTGAGCTCCAAGTTCTTTTGCCTTTATTTTCTATGTGCTGGTAGTTAATATGGGTCACCACATAATTACAGTTTTTAATGATCTGCTCTAACTTTTCCCAATTTTTAACTGAATATATATTTTCTATAGGAGAAGAAAAGTACAGAGATTTGTGATTTTATGTTTCCTTTGCAAGGAAAATTGCAATGTTGTATGTGTTTATAACTGAATTGTATATTACATTTTGATTAATTTATAATTTATTATATATGTATGTATGACAAGTAAGTCTGCATAACTCAATCTTCTTCTTTGCCAAATCTAGCTGGTCTTTCACGACGATTGTCCCCAAGCATTTCCTGCCCAGTATGGTAATGACATTCCTCATGGCTTTGGCCTTGGTATTTGACACTGCCATGTGTACTCCTAATCTATATTGGGGTCAGGATTAGACAGGCTTTGAGGGCAGTAGTGGCAGAAGCGATCTGAAATAGTACATGATCCAAACGCTATATTTGAAATACATTAGGCTTATATTTAATTATAACATCCAGTTTCCCTACTCCTCACTAAGAAGGCAAAACTGAATTCCGCATTCAGTCCTGAGAAGCTTCCCACTTGACCAACTTCCTCAGCTACTGTGTGGAAACCAATTTTGCCTTCGAGGGCACAAGGTTTGAACTAGCCAGCATAACATCCATTACATGGAGAATACTGCCTCAGCTTGACTTTGCAGTTCATTGTATTTTCTGAGCCACATTCTTTGTCCCTAGGACAGGGTTTGTTCCTCATGTGAGTGCACACACAGGGTCCATGAATTGAGAATGATCTGGGTATCTTAAAAGAACTGTCTATCCAAGGGAATTCTGATTTCATAAATCTACTAGCCTAAGGATTCTTTATTTTTAAGCAGGATTTCAAATGGGTCTCGTGGAGGGAATAGAGAGTCTACCCATGGATTATGAAGTAGTCATCTATAAAGGTTTTTCTTCCCTAAGCTCTGATTTGATTGTGAAGCTCATCCTTGGCACAGTCTCTGAGTTTTGCTCTAGTACTTAGCTTATTCGAACCCATATTTTAGGAACTCTACCCACAAGTTCTTTTCTTAAAAGGACTTTTTGTAACATTAAACTGGAAGAAATCCTCTGCCGTCTCTCTATACTTCCCACCTTTTTGCTATGTAACCGGTGGAACATGTTCCCTAACCTTTAAGTGAATGTAAGTACATTGGAAACTCTGCTACCTGTGTTGACCGTGTATTGCTTTTCTTTCCTCCTTTGTATAGGCACATTTTGTTTTATTGATCAAGCTAGGACTGTGTCTTCCTTGACCAGGAAACACTGCCTTCTAGTGGTTCTTCTGCTCCCTTCTTCCACACACCCTAAAGAAAATGAGGCAGTGTGGTGCTCAGTCTTTCCAGCTCCTCCTGCCTTCAGAAGGAACAACTCTCAAATTCCAGCTTTTAAGGGCAACTCAATTAGGGATTTTAACTCGGTAGAGATAAGTTGGATACATAGAAATATGTGAGAAATAGTTTTAAAAATTGCCTAATGGTTTCTCTGGCTCAGAAATAAGTCGACACCCCCCCCCCCTTTTAAAATTTCACTTTTTGAGAGAAGATCTAGGAATCTGGCTTTCTTATTTTATAATCCATTATTAATTTACAAATCAGTTTTTCTTTTTTTAACCTGAATTTAGTTAGCATTTAGTTGTAAAGCAGATGAGACATGGATTAACATCATACAAACTGAGTGAAAATATTAGCCTTAAAGCATAGGAAAACTAAGTTCGACGTGCTTTTAAAACTTGAAGTTTAAAAATGTATTATTTAAAGTGAGTGTTAGGGTAATGGGGATGGTTTCATTGCCTGTGACTAGAAAACAGATTTCTGGCATTGTTAAGGAAGCGAAAATGAGGGTTCTGTGCTTTGTACTTTACAGCTCCATGCTTTCTTTTATAGAGTAGACATTTGACAAAATCTCACTATAAGACATGCTTATTGTTGTCGGCAGAAATAGGATAAGATAAATTTCTGACTTTTTCTGAAAATTCAGAGATACCAGCTATATTAACAGACAATATGAGAGTTGCCTAAGATGGCGTCTCTATCACGTTAAACACAAACGCGCTTATAAAACCAATAGCTAGCCCAATAGGAGCTAGCTAACTTGTTTTAGGAAGGAACCTGGCCCTGTGAGATGACTCAGCAGGGAGTTGTGCTTGCCCCCAAGTCTGAAGACTGGACTTCAGTCCCCGGAACTTACTAGGTCAAAAAACAGACTCCTCAGGAGCTGTCCTCTGACCTCCATCTGTGCGTCATGGCATGTATGAACATGTCCACACACAGCAGAGAAGAAATGAATAAATAAATAAGTGGATTTTAAAAAAGTGAACAGTTGTTGTCTCCCTTGAATTGCTAATGGTGTAAAAACAATCTTTTCAATAATCTCTTTGGACGAAATATGCTAAAGTCATCGTCCCTAAAAGCTGGTTCTTACTAATGCCTTTGTCATTTACCTCTTCCCCATAAACCTTGCACAGAGTCATAGACAAAGCTGAGAGTCATAGAAAAAGCTGTATACTAGATAAGAGATAGACTTTACTTCTCAAATACTAAAAGCTGTCATTTAAACTTTTTTTTTAACTTTCAATAAGAAGATGTACTTTGATTTGCTTGCTTATAATCATGACTTTATTGTGATATCAACTTCAAGGAGTGTTTTAAGGAAGTAGGATTCTGGGTTGATGCCTTAATGTTTTTGTCAATACTGTGGAAACGTCTTGGTTTTAGGATGAACGAACCTGATTTTTTTCTTATAAAATATTAGAACTCAGAAATCACTGGACATAATGCCTTCATTTTCCACGTGGGCTAAAAGAACCTAGGAGAATAAATAAGCTACCCAGAGTTGTACAGTCTGTAAATAGCAGCTCTGGAGCTAAAACTCCATTGTCCTGACTTCTTCCTGTGTACTTGTTAACTAGGGTTGAGCCAGAGTTGTCATTTGCCTGACAGTTTTGCTAGACCAGGTAAATATACTAATCTTAAGAAATCTATGCCTTTCTTTGTGTATGCTCCTTATACTAAGTAGCTTTCAGTTTATTATTTTTTATCTTGCATTTTTATAGTGATAAAATTATTTCATAACATCATTAAATATTTGTGTTCTATATACTTTCTGGATTTGCAAGTATTTGCCAATGCCTCTACCATTCTGTGTATGACTTGATATATGATTCATACAAAATTTTCTAAAATCTCTGCTGTTGATTAAACAATTAAATTAAATTGAACCATGTTTTTGGTAAAGAGAAGATAATTCGTGAGGATGCGTGTAAAAGTGACTATACTCAGTCTAAGGACATTTTTACCTATTTTTTGGGGGACGTGGGTTTATCAAAGAACATGTTCCAGGGAGTGCCTTTTATTTTATAAACTCTAAAGGAATGATGCAGTTTTTTTTTCAAGAAAACTGATAATTTTTGTTCTACGTTTTGTAGGATCCAACTGGAATATTCTCACTAGATAAAACCATTGGTCTTGGTACTTATGGAAGAATCTATTTGGTAAGTGGAACTAGGTTATTTATTTATTCTTAATTTTCTAATAACAGCAATTGTGAGTTAAACCCTAACAATGCAAATAAAATATAGTGTATAAAGTACAGTGCATAAATCTGATAGACAAATCAATTTAAAATATGTCATTGAGGTTTAAAATTTTACTGTTTATTGATGCAAAAATGGATTGGAAAAACTATATTGAACCAATGGACATAAGATGCAAAATTAAAAGCAAAAATAAAACTCTTCGACTGAAAGGGGAAAAATCAAATAGAATGTGCCAAAATAATAATCTCATTTGTTTTATAATATGTATTAATGGCTTTTAATTAATTGTATTCAACTTTAAATTGAATGTTTTATTATGGATAGGCAAAGTTTATTAATTTTCTATATTAGTGCACATGAGTCTGCAAAATTTGCTAATTTCTCAAGAAATGCTACACTTGCCATGGTGCACACCTTTAATCCCAGCACTTGGGAAGCAGAGGCAGGCAGATCTCTGTGAGTTCGAAGCCAGCCTGGTCTACAGAGTGAGTTCCAGGACAGCCAGGCCTGTTACACAGAGAAACTCAGTCTCAGTGGCCCCCCCCCCCCCCACTACACTTACTAATTATATATTAAACACTAAGTATGCCGCAGGAATTATGATAATCTCTTGGGATGAACTAATGAATGAAACAAGTGTAAGTCCTGCTTTTTTGAGGCTTACAATACTGAAACATATCAAGTATGCATATGTAGAAAGGCTTGTTTAAAACACCCACATATAGTATATAAATGAACAGACAGCTTTATAATTTTAATTGTCAAGCATTAAGTGTTAGAAAAATTCATAGCAATATATATATATATATATATATATATATATATATATATATAACATGAAAATTCATTTAGATTGAAGGATCAATGCCGACCTACTTCCTAATAATTTAAAAACTGATATCAGGAGGATAAAGAATGAAGTGCTGTCATGGTGGATATTAAGACATTCCAGCAGGGTAGGACAATAATAAAGACTTGCAAATAGCCTTGTCACCTTAGTCCAACCAGCTTCTTGTACTTAAAAATATGGTAAATTTCTATTTCTCTATCATATAATGTTATAAAATATAAGGTTGTGCACAAGGAAGCACTTCTTCTTTTAAGGCCTTTCCCTTGAAACCAATAGTAGTGTCCCTACTAACTAACCTTACCGCCCACTAATCACAGGTCATAGTTATATGCATTGTGTAGCAGTGCCCTAATATAGACCTAAAGGAAACATCTTCTTTCCCATTGATACAAGGGTGCCCTCTCAAAGGACATGAGGCTTCTTCTCTAATTTATCTACCCACTTCGGAGTGATAAATGCTTTTTAAATTTTTTCACCAAGGTACATTCCACAGAGTAGCAAGAGCAATGTTGGCAATCCCTACGTATAGAGAGAACCTTAGCAAGTACGGGAAACAGAGAGAGTGATAATCAAAAGACACAAGTTTCCTTTTCTTCAAATAAGCAGAATCGATTATCTACAGACAGTAATAATGGCACAGAGTCAAGTATATTGCTTATGCTAATTTTCATTTCATACTTGCTAACATTCTTAGTTTTGCCTCCTGATACATTAATAAAATACCATATACATGGGCAGCAAAATACCTTTTCGTGGCAGATACATGTAGAATATGTACATTCTATAGATATTTCAGTTCCTGAGATGTGTGTATATGTATATATGCATTGTAATTCCTCTGACTAAGAAGCATAGCACCTTCTCCATCACCAAATGGAGCAAATAAGGTAAGAGTTGAACATCCATCAGAAGACATCAGAGCTTCCTGACCAGAAGAACAGTCAAAAAGGTAAAAAAAAAAAAAAAGGTATGTTGTGCATGAAAATTTGTTAAAAAAACCCCTCCGGGTTTAGTATAAAATTAATAAAATTCACTCATGAGTTTAAACAAATATTTATAGTCATATAGCTATCACCACAATGAAGACTTTAATATAATTTTTGTGTTAATGTAAGTCAAGGAACGCGCTTACACTCAGCTGTGCGATATACCAGATAATGTGCGATGATTATGATTATTATGAATTTTGTTTTTACGTATAATAAAACTTACTATTGTGCTATAAATTTATTTATATATTCACTGTTTCTATGCTTATTGTTTTTTTGGGGTTGGATGGTCAAGTTCCGTAGACAAAAATAATGCCTTTTATATTAACATTTAATTTTGTCATTTCTAAAATTTTTATTTCTTTATAAAAATCCAATTCTATAGCTGATATGAAGAACTTAAGACTGAAGGCCTTAATATTCCTTATAGTTTGAGGTTTCTACTAATGAAATGCATGACTTCTTTACTTCTGGAAGATATTTACAGCCATAGGAGCTCTATTGACATTTTCTCTCAGCAATATAAACACGTTACTCCATTTCCATCTGGTTTCCATAGTTTCTGAAGTCTTGTGTATATGAGGAGGGAGGGAGAGAAAGTGTGTGTGTGTGTGTGTGTGTGTGTGTGTGTGTGTGTGTGTGTTTCTGTGTGGTTCAGAAATGTTCTCTCTCATTTTCTTGCCCCATCTTAGTAGGGATGCACCTTCCTTCATTATGTTTGTGCCGTAAATCCACACAGATATGTCTATATGTCTGCAATTACATCCTGTATCTCACTTACTGAGATTTTTGCAGATTCGTGCTTGGCCTTTAGTAATTCATTTAAAAAATACACAACTTCTTCATGTCTGCTTCTGTGTATGTCTGTTCCCTCTGCGGCCATAGATGAGTCCACTCCTTTCTTCAAGACTTAAGGCTTGTTGACTGCTTTGAAACTTCTCTCTAGATTAAAAAAGTGTGATTTTGTAGATTGTTTGATTTTTTTTTCCTTGCTGTTAGGCTAGGAATGATTCTCTTTCTGGAATTCATATCCCAATCCAAAGTGAACAGTCTGCCTGAATTTCTTTTAATGAGTGCTCAGGATGCAGTGATTCATTGTATAGATTTTATGTGAACCTATGAGGTAAAAAATATTTCCCACTCTCGGGTTTTCTAAACAGAACCCAGTTTCGTGACATTGATAATTAAAGCTCCGTTTACAACATAAAGTTGTCTTTCTGTCACTCACTCATGACTTCACCCCTTTTTATTATATCTCAAATTAATTTCTTTCTGCAAAAAGATACAGTAATATTACCCTCATAGAAAACACCATGGAGTAAGTGTTCATCAGCTTTAAAGTGATTCTCCTCTTTACACCAATAGTTCTGCTTTTAGACGTTTATAATTGAACACTCCATATGAGAAGAATAAAGATACTCCCTGCCGTGGAAAGTCGGCTTCTTGTGGTGAGGACACAGCACCATTGAAGCAGGCAGATCTAATTCAGAGCTCAGAGCTGTGACAGTGAATCAGTCACTTAACCTCCGGTACCACATTGCTTTTGTTGTTTATGAGAGAGCTCATTCTACTTACCTTGCAGATTGGATACAACTTAGAAAGAGTATTTATAGAACGTTTGACATATGGTAGATTTCTGTTAAAATGACTATTACTGTCATTATCGCTACTATTATTTCCGCAAAGAAAAATTCAGTAACACTGTAAATAATAAAATAAGTAATGGAAAGAATAACCTTATGCTTGGTATTTCACTGTATTGTAAAGCAGTATTTAGTAAAATGATAGAACTAAATTCGTGAGCAAAATGATATAGTCATTATTACACTTGCATCTTGATTATGGTTATGACTAAATATGCAGATGAAAAATATTGAATAAAACTGTTAGTTTAGTAAAATATTGGATAATTTTTCTAGTCTATATTTTTGCTATTTTTTCTGTCTATAATGTTACATGCTTGAGATAAAAACATATCCAAATTTTACATCTATTATATATTCGATAGTACCAGCTGTTAAACAACTAACCTATACAACAAAATGGAGATATGATACCATTCAAAGTTACTGTGTGAGTGACTCACAGAGTCCTTTGCTTTTTCGGTACTACCAACCACATCCCCTGCTGTTGTTTGTTTTGGTTAAAAGTCTCTCCAATGTCTTCCAGCTTGCTTCCAAGGCCTCCTTCTCTGACAGGTTTCCAGCAGTCTGCTGAGGTCTGTGCACATAGAAATGAAGACTGAGTTTCACTCTGCTCTACCTTGTAACTCTTCTCCTTCCCGTCTTCTAATTAGACAGCTATCTTCCCTCTCTATCCCTCTTCCTGCCAATACAAGCTTCACTAGAAATTGTGGGTTTCCTTTTCTTCTTCATTTTAGGAGTACAGCTCTTCCCCTTTCCCCCAGTAGGGTTAGAAATGATATTTTCTCTTTACCTTTAACTACTAGTCTCATAGCTTCTAACTAGTAAGTTCAATTAGAAGGATATTTAATATTTGGCTATGAGATGGTATATCTGCAAAAAGAAAATAGAATATGGGCTGGCAAGCTAGTTTAGTGGGTAAAAGTGCTTAGAATGTATACCTGATGACCTTAGTTCAATCCCCAGAGCTGTTATGAAGGTAGGAGAGAAACAAATCTGCAAAGGTGTTCTCCCGTCTCCGTTTGTACACCATGGCATATGAGTGATATCCCCCACCTCTCCAGAGATGGTAAAAATGTGTTGCAATTCATTCTTCAATGATGCAGGATAAAATTCAAATTTCCCCAGGAGCAATGTACACAGACGTGCCTCAGTAATTTTATGAAATACTGAGCAAGAGACCAAGACCCTTTTTAGGGAGGAAGGAGGAAAAGTGACAACTTGACCATTTTAACTTACACTAAACATGGCACCTTAATTTTCTAAGCATATTTATTCAACAATAACATAAGTGATCCAGACATGATAATTGTCAAGGTTTCTTGTGCTTTGAGCTTTGAGATACAGCACTTCACATAGTGCCAGACACCACATGTAATGTAGGCAAGTTGTACTATCATTAATATAACGACAACAGTCCTGTAGTCCCTCTACCTTCTTACACACTAGAAGTTGATTATTGTCTAGTGGCAA